ATTTATTTAAGTGCTATAATGTGGGGTCTCTGCAACTGATCAGGTCTAGGTTCAGCAACAGTGTGTGCTCAAAGAATGAAGTCAGCTGACTACCTGAATATACTGAATGACCAGGTTATTCCATCAACGGATTGTTTCTTCTCTGGTGGTACAGGCATATTCCAAGATGGCAATGCCAGGATTCATCTGGCTCAAATTTTAAAAGAGTGGTTCAGGGAGCATTAGACATCGTTTTTCACACTGACTCCACAGAGTCCATTGAGAGTCTTTGGTATGTGCTGGAGAAGGCTTTGTGCAGCGGTCAGACTCCACCATCTTGTTGAAAAATTAATGCAAAACTTCAAAATACGTATTTAGACACCCGGGTAGCTAAAGATAATAAAATTGTATCAAAACTATTTCATTTGGTATGTAAAATCTATGTAAATAGATAGTGAGATTTGGACAAATGCACAAGGGGCACCACCTGAAATCTTATGGGGCTCCAAATTGGCCAGCCCTGGGGAGAACAAATATCCATGACTACATTAGCAATAACATACAACTGTTTGTTGTGTCAAAGAAAAAATTCACATAAATGCTTCACTCTGTTGTAAAATGATTAATATTATTCTCTATATATTTTGATTGCTATAAATTCTCATGACCATTTCATTACTGGTTAACAATCTGTGGAAATGATTCAACTTGTGCCAAATACTGTGTAAAACACACAAATAAAAAAAAGAATACCAATACACGGCAAGTTATGAGAGCTAAAACTAATTCTTTCAGAATTAGCAGATATTAAAAGCTCATGGCCAATTTTCAAATAAACATTTTCAGGGCCTGTGTGTGAACTCATTGATAGTCATGGAATGAATGTGAAGAGTCTTTAGATATTGAAAAAAAAAATACAGTGAAGGTGAAGCCTAATTGGCTTTCTGTGAATTTGAAGAGTTTCCTCATCATCTGAGAACGGAGCTAAAGAGACTTTGCGTTACAGCGTGAGTCATGGGATGAGACGAACATCTCCAGTCAGATAGAAAGGATTTCTATTAATGGGGCTCATTTTTAGTTAGAATGTTGGGAAAAAAGTTAAAATAACAATATATGTTATATAAGCTACTACCAGACTGTATTATTTGTTGCTAGTCGGACGTTAATGTGTTTACCTGTGTCTGTGCATGTGTTTGTCTGTCTGTCTGTCAGCAAAACATCTCATGAATCATAAAAACTGAAATAAACTTTGCATTGGTTTCACATTCAAAATGATCACCTTTTGGAGCTAACCCAATTCAAAATGTCACCAAAAAGCACACAAATGGCTATACTTTGTTCAATAATACAGATGTTGTGTTGAATGCTGATCTAATTGCAGCTGAGACTCATTTATGATGCAAACAATGAGACCTCTGGTTTAAATAATGCCCGTTGGTGTCAACCCTGTTTATATGTTAGCAAAATATCTCAATCACTTTATGGATTTTAATGAAATAAGAACGTAATCATAGGCAGTATACTGATAACTGATTAACTTTCAAAACCACACAAATTCAAAATGTGCACCATGACTATAACTGACAAAGAAAAAAATGGCTATAATTCGATGAATTTCAGTCATACTGAGGGACATCTTGTGATATGAGAGAATGTTATTTTCAATTTCTCAGCATAACATGATATTATTCTGAAAATTCTGCCCAGAAAAACGACGGAGCATTCTTTTAAGAAATGCTAATATTTTAATTTAAAAAAATGTTTGTAGTTTTTCTTTATGTGTGTTTTTGTTGGCCTTCGACCCCATACAGAGAGCAGCAGTGTGTTTTATTTAATATATGAGAATCACAGTTCCCCTAAAGCGGTAAAGCACTAATAGGGGAACTAATTTCCTGATTAGTACTTTAGGGCTTTTGCCAGTTTAAAAATTATTAGTGGATTAGCACTTGCTAAATTTAGATGCTAAATTTAGAAGCACTAACAGAGGTCTATAAATGTTACTGATCAATGTTAATGTTAACAGCTGAGGGTGAAAGCTGTCACATTTTGTTCATATGTGTCACTCATCCACTAGGTGACGATACATGAACCCAAATACAACTGTGGAATGTCAATGATAAGTCTTTACAGAGCAACATGGCAACATGTGGCTCATGTTGTCTGTTGAAGAATGTTCATGGGTTGACTGGGTTATTTTAGTACTTTAGAATTAGCTTTTTCAAAAATTTTCACTGCATTAGTGCTTTAGAATTAGGGGACCTAAATACACTCCTGATCAAAATCTTAAGACCAGTCAAAAAAGTGCAAGAATTTGCATTTTGCACTATTGGATCTTAAGACGGTTCCAAGTAGAGCTTCACAATGTTAAAAGAAGAAATCAGTGCYAGAGACAAGAAATTTTGAGCAGGGAATTTTCTGAAAACTGCATTTACACTCAAACATGATTTTTTTCAGCTGATCAAAAAGTTTAAGACCATAGTCTTTAAAAGCTAAAAGCTGTGCAAAAATCTGGATTCCATGTCATTTTCTGTCAAGTCTTTACACTGTCAAGACCTCCTGATGGCAAAAGTAAAAAAGCTCACTGACTTTGAGCGTGGTAGGGTTGTTGAGCTGCATAAGCAAGGCCTCTCACAACGTGCCATCGCTGCTGAAGTTGGACGCAGTAAGACAGTCATTTTGCATTTTTTAAATGATCCTGAGGGTTATGGAACAAAAAAGTCAAGTGGTAGACCCAAAAAAATTTCACCAGCTCTGAGCCGCAGGATCCGATTGGCTGTCCGTCAAGACAAGGGACGATCCTCTACCCAAATTAAGGCCATTACTGGTGCTGACTGCAGCCCAATAAGACGGCATCTGTGAGAGAAGGGCTTCAGAAACAAAAAATGTCTTCAAAGGCCACGTCTTCTTTAACACCACAAAATTGCCCGTTTGGACTTTGCGATGGTGCACCAAACATGGGACATTGAAAGGTGGAAGAAAGTTGTCTTCTTTGATGAGAAAAAATTTAACTTTGATGGTCCTGATGGCTTCCAACGTTACTGGCATGACAAGGAGATCCCACCTGAGATGTTTTCTGCACGGCGCAGTGGTGGGGGCGCCATCATGATTTGGGGTGCGTTTTCCTTCAATGGAACAATGGAGCTTCAGGTTGTGCAGGGGCGTCAAACAGCAGCTGGCTATATGGAGATGTTGCAGCGGGCCCTCGTCTGTGTGGTAATGATTGGGTTTTTCAACAGGACAATGCTGCAGTTCACAATGCCCGCCTGACAAGGGAGTTCGTCCAAGAGAATAACATCACTCTTTTGGACCATCCTGCATGTTCCCTGGATCTAAACCCAACTGAGAACATTTGGGGATGGATGGCAAGGGAAGTTTACAAAAATGGACATCAGTTTCAGACAGTGGATGCCCTTAGTGAAGCCATCTTCAACACTTGGAGCAACGTTCCCACTAGCCTCCTGGAAACACTGGCATCAAGCATGTCTAAACGATTGTTTGAAGTCATCAACAAGAATGGTGGAGCTACTCATTAATGAGTCCTTTTTCGACATTTTGATTTCTGTTTTGGGTTTTTTTGAGCTATGATCTTAAACTTTTGACAGCTGAAAAAAATCATGTTTGAGTGTAAATGCAGTTTTCAGAAAATTCCCTGCTCAAAAGTTCTTGTCTCTTGCACTGATTTCTTCTTTTAACATTGTGAAGCTCTACTTAAAACCTTCTTAAGATCCAACAGTGCAAAATGCAAATTCTTGCACTTTTTTTGACTGGTCTTAAGATTTTGATCAGGAGTGTATTTGAGTTAGTGTTTTAGGGCTAGTGGAGCTAAATTTTTAGATTTGTGCTGCCCACCACTGATGAGAATGGGCTCCATGTTGCATCTCCAACAACAAGGAACACGTGAGTCAATACAAATAACTGTTCAACAAATAATAGTTCCAACTGACCAAACTTATTTGTATGGATTATTAAAACGCATTTAACAAAGAGACAGAAACACAATGAAACAACCTGCACGAAAACAAATAACTCTCACAAAAACCTAATGGAGGATTAGTTTAGAGGTGGAGTCATCTAAGCTCAACTTCAAACTTCTTACCTTTTCCATCTTTTCGGTCTTGTCTGATGGGACAAAAACAAGGATGGCAGCTCCTCATTACCAGAAAAATCACAGATCAGATGGGGACTGTATGATTAACAGTGTTTGGAGAAATGCTCACTGAAGAACAGCTGTAATCTGACAGCCTGCTTCAAGGATTAAGCTGGTTATTAGTGATCCTCCCCTTCACTCCACCCTCCCGCCAGGATTTAAATTGGACTAAATCTGCAGAGTAACAAGTAACTCTTGTTTTGATTGGTTTTTGACTCATTGGCTTCTTGAAGAGCCAATTTGGGCAACGTTATTTTCTTCAGTGTGTGATGTGATAGCTAAACTGCAGATTGAGTTTACTAAAAATAACCAATATTCTGCTTGACAACACAGTCAAATATTCATCTTTCAACACTGGACATGAAAAAAAAATGATCTAAATGATCTGTTTTGTCTTTACTCTGTCTTAAAACCAGAGTAAAGCCTTTTTTTATTGGGCAGTGAAGCTATAATTTTGCTGTCTACTGTTTGTGTCTACTGACACAATTAAATAAAAATATTTCACTCAAGCAAAACACTTCATTCCACATCAGTGAAACCTGGTTTCCCTCTCTGTACACTGTGCCAATTTAGGTTTAAGCCACGTTCAGTCAAATTAAAGCCTCTTTCTACATCATGTAAGTCTTATTAGAATATAAGAGTGAAAGCAATTAAAACCACACTTTTTCTGTCACAGAAACTTACTGTTTTTTTTAATTAAATATTCACCATGAACAGTGACAGCTTCTCCTACATTTGCTTCCATTCTTAGTGTTGGTTTTCCAATTATGAGTCAAAATACACTGCCTGACCAAAAGAATTGCCAACAAAAAAATGGTCACCTTGTCTCTCCAGATTAAAGGTGACACAATGGCCCAGCCAGCTGTTCTACGGTTCATCTTAGGAGATGAGTCTGACTCAAAAAAAAACCCTCCCATCTCCCCAAAAACAAAATCTTCCTTCTGTTTTGAACAAATTTCCTGTCGTTTGTACCTTTTGAGTTAAACATTCAGTTAATGTAGGATCTCATCGTTTGACTTGAACCTTATTTTCTTTTTCTCTTTAGTAAACCGTAAAACGTCTGACAAATGTCAGAAGCTGTTCTCTGAATATCTGACTGCTGACGGGGAACATTTTAATTAATTAAATGAGAAATTAGCATCTGAGATTGGATCTTTACTCCTAAGCTTTCCCTTGTTCCCTTTTCATAAAACCTTAATCAAAAATCATAACTGATATTAAAACAATCCTGTCCACTGAGAGCGGGGGTTTCTGTCCAATAGAAAACCTAATGACATCATGTACAGATTTGTCTATGATAGATATAAAAGTGTGGAAAAAAACCCCATCTAATAAAAATTGACCAAAAATAAATAAATAAAAACATGTCCTGTATTATTAGACATGATCCGTTAGCTCAGATGACTGAAGGCTTCAGGTGCTGCTGCGACTGATTATGTGGAGAGCAGTTCTAGAAATAAAGTTCAGGCAATTAAAGTTTCTCATTAATATGAACACACACACACACACACACACACACACACACACACACACACACACACACACACACACACAC